GGTAATGCACTAGAACAAAAAGTCAGTTTAAACCACAAGCTCAGCAGGTCAAATTCATAACCACTCCTGAGAAATCCTATACAGGGTCGCTATGAGTCAGAACTGACTTGATGGCACTTAACAACAATGGCTAATGGGAGTCCTGGTGTGGCACTGTGGAATAAAGCACTGGACCACAAGGTCAGTTTGAACTGCAAGGTTGGTGGTTCAAACCCACCAGCCACTCCTCAGAAACCCTATACAGGGTTGCTATGAGTTGGAATCGACTCAATGGCACTTAAAAATAACAATAGCTAATGATCATGAGCATTTCTTCAGATGTTTGTTGGCCACCTGAATGTCTTCTTTGATGAAATGTCTGTTCATGTCTTCTACCCATTTTTTAATTGGATTATTTGTCTTCTTGTTAAAATGTTGACGCATCCTAAACTTTAGAGAATAATCCTTTGTTTCATATGGCATTACCAAACATTTTTTTCCTAGTCTGTGAGTTCTCTTTTTACTCTTTTGGTGAAATCCTTTGATGCACATAAGTGTCTAACTTTCAGGAGATCCCAGTCATCTATTTTGTCTTCTGCTATTTGTGTGCTTTCAGTTATACTTGATAGTGTATTTATGCCATGTATCAGAACCCCTGTTTGTCCCTATTTGTTTCATTGCACAGAGAAAATTGTTGAAGAGTGGTTGGAAGAAAACTTCCCAAGCATCATGAAAGAGGAGAAATAAGCACACAAGAAACTGAACGAACACCAAACCAGATAGATCCCAAAAGAAAATCACCAAGACATATCATAATCAAACTATACAAAATCGAAAACAAGGAAAGAATCCTGAGAGCAGCTCAGGAAAACAAAATGCTACCTACAAAAGAGAACCAGTAAAACTAGTCTCTGATTTCTCAGTAGAAATCATGTAGGCAAGAGGCAATGGGATGACATGTACAAACTCTGAAAGAAAAAAATTGCCAACTAAGTATCATATACCCAGCAAAGCTGTCTCTCAAATCAGATGGTGAACTTAGGACATTTCCTGATAAACAGAAATTAAAGGAACTTATAATAACCAGACCAACTTTACAAAAAATACTTAAGAGAGTTCTTCAGTCTTAGAACCAATAACAGATAACAACCTGGGATTAATATACATGACAACACCTCCCAGAATTGAAGCCAGATGTACAAGTATCCAAAATAAAAACAGACCTACAAAATTGAAAATAGGAGATACCAGTTTATAATGAAGTCAACTACAAAGCCAAAAGAGAGAATAGTGAAGATACAGAACTTCCAAATGGTAAGGAACTTAAGTAGATTTCAATATAAAATAGACTGTTTAAATGGGGAAATATATTAATAAATTTCTTTTATTACCCTCAAAGAAAATGAATGCACCTTCACATCAAAAATTTTTTAAAAAAGGAAAATCAGAAAAATGTAGTAAATATTAACACAATCAAAAAGAAAATCTACAAACAAAATGAACTCAGTGCAGGAAATTATGTGGAACTAAGAAACCACATAATACAGAAACGGCTACAATCATACATTGACAGAGAACTTCCAGAGGTTCAAGCTGGATTCAGAAGAGGCCGTGGAACGAGAGATATCATTGCGGATGTCCGATGGATCTTGGCTGAAAGCAGAGAATATCAGAAAGATGTTTACCTATGCTTTATTGACTACACGAACGCTTTC